CTAGTCTTAGAGACTAGGCGCCATCACAATTCTAAAGGTGGGATTTTGGAGTCGTGACACACACACACACACACGCCAATATAAGGTGAGAACACCATATGTAATGACCCGGGCGATCATTTTGAGCTCTAGCATATCGTTCGGCGGCTTGAGGCCTTGAGTACCTTCACTTCAGGTATTAGGACTTGTACGTGTGGTCGGTATTGAATTTCGGGAAGCTCAGCATTGATTCGGATAAAATATTCTCAATTCGAAAGCTTTAAGTTGAAAGAGTTGACCAAAGTTTGACTTTTGAATAAACGACCTCGGAATCGGGATTTGAGGGTTTCAATAGGTTTGTATAATGATTTCAGACCTGGGCGTATGTTCGGGTTAAGTATCGGGTGGTCCGGGAGAATTTCAGCGCTTATTATGGAAAGTTAGTATTTTGAAAGTTTTAGAATTTCTTAAGTTTGATTTGAAGTAAATTTTGGTGTAATCAAAGTTTGTTTGGGTTCCGAGCCTTGGAATAGGTTCGTATTGTTATTTATGACTTGTGTGTAAAGTTTAGCGTCATTCCAGAATGTTTACGTATGATTCAGACGCGTTTGTCGAAATTTGTAAGTTTGAAAGTTGAAAGAGGGATTTTGATCATCGATTCATGATTTTGATGTTATTCATGGTGTTTCGGGCCTTTGGATAAGGTATTGGGGCTTGTTGGTGTGATCGGACGGGGTCCCGGAGTCCTCGGGTAAGTTTCAGGGTGGTTTCAGATCAATTCTCCTTGTTTTGTAACTGTTGGTTTCTGGTGTGGTTGGTATGCATCGCGATCGCAGAAGTAAGGATACGATCGCGAAGGGCTAGTTGGCCTAGTAGAGGTTTTCTTCATCGCGATCGCGTAGCTGGAGCAGGTGTTTCTTGGGAATAAATTTTATATTTGAGTTTGTAATGTTATGGGTAATGTTTATCTTAAAAACTTTTCGGAATCCGGGCACGTGGGCCCGAGGGTTGACATTGTTGACCTTTAGAGAGAAGTTAGGAATTATTATAAATTGATTAATTATGAGTATTAGAGTATATTTTTAATGGTTTGCACATTGTTTGACTAGTTTCGGATCGATGGCCATCGGTTAGAGGTGTTAGAGAGGCGTTTGAGCTGGTTATAGAACTTCGGAGAGAGGTAAGTCTCCTATCTAACTTTGTGAGGAGGAAATTACCCCGTAGGTGTTATTCTTGTTATATGATACATGTTGTGGGAGCTGCACACGTATGCGGTGACGAGTGTCCGTGCGCATGCTAGAATTCCTGAGTACGTCCGGGTAGATTAGGATTTACACCATATTTTATTTGTACTGGTTGAGTTATTATTGCCTGCTTAGCTACCCGATTTTGCATTACGGCCTGAGACTAAGCTTGCGTAGAGTGATAGACTCGCTATTGTAGAGATTTGATGAGCTACTTGATTAGCCGCGGAATAATTGTGCTTCCCTTATTTCTCCCGCGTTATGCGTTTCCATCGAAAAGTTTCCTTAAATTTCATAACTTACACGTATATTTGTGAGTGGGGTCAAGGACCCGTTAAAGCTTATTATTCTAATGGGATCGGGACTTTCGCCTCGACAGTATGGTAACACCACTCTTATGGGATCGGGCTGTTCGACTCGGCAGTATAATTGTAATACTATTTTTATGGGATCGAGCCATTCGCCTCGGCATTTCTATAAAATACTCTTATGGGATCGTGTCATTCGCCTCAGAGACTTCATGAAACACTCTTATGGGATCGAGCCTCGGCAGAATCGTGCGTAATGGTTGACAAGAAGTTAGTGTATCCGTGAGTTTTTCTGATTTGAATTGTGACGACCTATTTGGTGGGGACCATTTTATATATACTCCGGTTGAAGAGGTAACCGATAAGTGAGAGCTTGTGTTTACTGTTCAGAGGAGAATCGTACCACGTACCTATATTTGTTTACACTATTTATTTATCATGCCTCGTATTTGTTTACTTTCTACTGTACTTGATTTATTGGACCACTAGTAAGTGTCGATGTTGACCCCTCATCACTACTTCTCCGGGGTTAGGCTAGATACTTATTGTGTATGCGTTGATTTACGTACTTATGCTACACTTCTGCACTTATTGTGCAGGTATATATATTTCTGGTGGTCTTTTGGGTGCAAAGACACGGCTATTGTGGGGATTTTACGGTGAACTACATCCCGTGTTACGATCCACAGCATACAGAGTCTCTATTAGAATTATTTATATTTTTTCTGTCTAACTTGTATTCCATACAAATGTTGTATTATTTTTTTTGTACCTTCTACTAGATGCTCATGCACTAGTGATACCGAGTTTTGGGGGTATTCTAAGAATTTGTTTATGGATTGTTTTACATTGATACACTCTTACTTATTATTTTAATTAAACTATGCGTAACTACGATTTATTTTAATGCACTGACCTCTCTATCTAAATAAAATTCATGATTTTAAAAATAATAAAAGAAATAATTAAGTGTTGGCTTGCCTAACGGCGACGTTGGGCCCCATCACGGCCTATAATAGATTTTGGGTCGTGATACCATAATATGTGTTTCATACCACGTGTGTTAACGACTAGTGGGATGATGGAAGAATGAGTATCTGCTTCTTCATTGTGTCATATCCCAAAGAAATTATATTAACTTTTATTGGAATACCGTTTGACCTTTTACTATTTCTTGAAGTGCCAATCAGTGTTTCTACTTTATCATGTCACTAATAGCCATGAGTGATTCGACAATGCAGTACATGTCTAGGAAAGCAGTTGATTTAGAATAGAAAGATTCAAGTAGAAAGGGAAGTCAACTAAAATTTTTAGTAATTTAACTTGTATTCATAGGTCGACCATATACTGCCATAAGAGTATCAAGTGTAATTATGAATACATTGCTATATATGAACTCGAGTTCACATCTTTTGAGGATGGGGGATTGAATAACTAGCTAATGAACTAGCGGGTGAAGTCTTGGGTATAGTGAGTAATAAGATCGTTATGTTAGTAGTGAATCCTTTCCGAATGTGATCGGATTTCTACATAGAGCTTTAGAATAACCTTAATAGGTTTAAAATATATTATAGTTCTTGATGCTAGCAGGTCGCAGGAACTACTTGTCTGAATGAATTAAGTGTGTTATTTATCCATGATACTGGTTTGAGTCCAGCCCATCATGAGCGAAGTGGGAGATCTTGGGTATAGAATCCGAATATTGGGTCGCTCTATGTGGGCTGACCCAACCCATGTAAAAGAGATAAGGGAAGTTATCTGTAAAAAAAATTACTGGACAATAAAAAAGGGAAAAAATATGAAATAGTGGGGAGTCGGTTTTTCAAAGAAAACCATATCTTTTCTTCTTTAAAAGGAAAAGCATGCATACGCTTTCCACACAACTTCAAGAGACACAAAACCTCTTCTTGAATTTTCCCATAAAACATATAAAACTAGGATAATATTTGGTTCGTTGATGGAACTTCGTTTCCAAGAGAGGCGAAATCGACTTAGGAGCAATTTGTTGGTTGTGATTTTTATTCCGCTGAGTTAAAGGTACGATGTCCCTGTTACTATATTTTGCTGCCAGATACACTATTCTTTCTCTGCTAGTCTGCTTCTCTTGGAAGTGTCTAATGTGCTGTGATTAGCCATCATCATAGTTATAATTAGTAAGGCTCCTTTTGGCTTTAACATTATTTCAGTTCTGTTTCTTAAACAATGAAGTTAGAAACAGTATGCAGGTAATTTCATGTAAAAATAACACTTTTTCTTTAGAATGTTTTTGATTTGCAAGAGGGAAAAGTAATACTAGATTAATATGGATTTCTGATTCATTTAATATTTTTCGAAAAAGAAAATATTTAATGGAACAGTACAGAATACTGGTATTATACTTTGCTCATACAAGGAGTTCCAAATATATAGAATTGATCAGACTTTAAGTACTACAAATATAAGCATTTACAGTCACAGTATATATAAAAATTAAAACACTTTCTAACGTATGACTCAAGAATGAGTTGATTTACAATTGAAGGATAGATCTTCCGAAGATGCTGGCAAGTTGACAGAAAGGGACGAAACACGGAAACATCACTACATAATTATATTCTAACGGGTCATTGCATCTCTCTAATTGGAAATTTCCACTTAAGACTAAGTTCCTTTTAATTCTATGTTAGGCACTTGGTATGTATTAACCTTTGTTTTTGTAAGCTTCATAATTACTATCAGTGCTAGATTTTATCTCCTCTCTTGTATAAAAATGTCCAGTAGTTCATTCTTGCCTATTAAGAGGGACACAGGTTTAGAGGGAAATAAGGTTTAGCAGCAAAGTGTTGTAAAACTTCTATATTCATTTTATAACCTAATCAATCTCTTCAGGGCATGTACAACCCCATCACTCATCAAGAATACTTCAACAACTTGTGCGAAATTAAATGTGAAAAAAAGCATCCAAATATATAACAAGTGATCACCAACTGATTCATGTCAATCGGTGTGGAGCTACAGTTATGCTTAGGGGTTCAACAGAGCCCTAATATGTCAAATATGCTTTAAATAATTTATTTAGAACTGTTAGATAGTAGTGTATATGTCAAATATACTAGGTATATTTATTAATATACCTATTCTCCAATGTGAGACACTAGTCTATTAATATATACACTACTATCTAACAACAACGCTCTGCATGTCAACTATCACACTAGTAACGAGCACCGATTCAGGAAGAGATGTCAAAAATAAAATAACCATAAAGTAAGGCATTAATAAGAAGCTCTGACACTGATAACTTTTGTTTGAAAAATCATCAAAGTAATAATCATGTTCGTGGCATATTATATCATTTTCCACTACTTTTTAATCGGAACATACAAACTTAAGAAAATAAAGAAAACAAACAAGTACTAGTATTGGAAAATTATCTAATCCCCTTGGAGGTTGGAGCCTATGCTATATATATATACACACATCAATTTTTCTAGGGCGTAAGGTTGACATGGTAAACCTCAGTCATATCGGGGTAGAATAAACCAAAATTTTCCTCGACACCAGCGGGCTTTTGGTTCTCATTGAACAGAGCAAAAATGTATGTCTCCACAATTTTGCCAGGCCTCCTAGGAGTTCCTTGTCCAGAAGAAACATGTGCAATCAAATTGTTTGCATAGGTTTGAGCATTGTCTATAGTTGCAAACACATCACCGGCACTCGGCCACCCTGTCTCTGTAACCACAACTTCTGCCGCAGGTTGTCCAACTTTCTCTAATGCAACATACAAAGAGTCTACCATTGCATCAAACAGGTTGTTGTATTGGAATTGACCGTCACTTACAATTGGACCCGTGCCTTTGAGAAGTGCATAGTCTAATTGAACTTGAGCAGGATTTCCAGAATAAGCAAAATAAGGATACACATTAGCCAATAGTGGATATTGTTTTGTAGCTAAAAATTGTGCTATGGGCTGCAGGAATTGAACGGCGCTATCGGAGAACGCTCCGTTCGAAGGAGGAAACGAGGTTCCTAACACTTTTAATGAGACTGTAGTTGAAACAGGTATGTTAAGGTTGTTGGCTTTCAGTGCAGATTCGAGATTTTGCAAAGCTTCTAGTACGAAGTTTGCTAATGGTCCTGGTATGACTTCATTACCTGCTGAAATGTACGTAAATTTGACAGTCGAAGCATGTGGAATTACGTTGTTTTGTACCCAATTTGTTGCAAAAGTTGGATCACTTGCAAGTGATTGCAGGTCTTCATTTCGGGTACCAAGAATTACAGAAATATCAGAACCCTGTAATGCCGTTAAGACATCTTGATTGGGATCGAAAATTCGTATTTTTTGGATGTTTCTTGACTTTAAGAGATTGATCACTTGGGCTGGTGGTGGTAGATTATTTCCCAGGAGACCATAGTTCACACCAATTCCTTCAACACCTTTTTATCACAAAAAACAAAGTAAAAGATGATCATTAATTCGATTAAACAAATTCTAACAACACGTTATAAATTAAAGCGCTCATCAAATAACAGAGTAATTAATGAGTTTATGGTACAACATGATATTTTAGCTTTGGCTCAAACTTTGTATTTGTATTAAAAAATTATTTAGTATATATAAATAATTTATTCAAAACTCATTAACAAAAAAAAATTGTATCCAAATCCTATAAATTGAAAATTCTGGCTCCGTTTACGATGAAAACTTACCAGGTCTTATGGTCACACATGCAAAGACAAATAACAAGATGCAAAGCCGCGTCATGATTAATAAATATATAGAGCTCTTTATTAGTTTTGAAGGTCTATGATATTAACGAGCACGAGTGGAAAAAGGTCATATTTATACGTCTAGGGATCCTTGCTAATTACCACAGTTACTAGTAGTACTAAATAATGTACCATCAATGTTGGATCTTTATTTATTTAGTTTGCCTTTTTTGGCATGAGATGGTGGATCTTTATTATTATATTTTTGGCATGAGATGGTGGATCTTTATTTATTTATTTTGCCTAATTTGGCATGAGTATTATTTATAACATTTTAGTGCATGTCATAAATAAGGATTGACTACAGTTAATTAATTGTAAACCCATCTATTACCAACGGGATCTTCAAAGTTGATCCTGGTAATATCTCTCTATTATATGTCCAGATACAAACTTCATCATTTTATTGCGTTCACAGTTAAAAGGGAGTTAAATTACATGTAGTATCCATATTTAAAACTGAATCTCCTTCTCATATTAAATAAATGGAAAATAAAGAAATTTAGGCTTAGTATTAGTCAACGTCTCCGACCAGAACACACAGCTAGCACAACCATGAAAAAAGAATAATAAACTAATGAATATTGGATGAGCACACGAAGTAATAAAACTGGACTAAACAGAATTTTTGTAAGATTAGACAGGCGAAGACAAAATAACGAAGTGTTCACGATAGTTTAAAGTGATGGGAAAAAACTTGCTAATATTTGGTGTATGTATTAAAAATTTAAAATCAATAATGTATAACACGCACTGTTCTTTTGAAAATTTTCGAGATTTTTACATGGCTGAGCATTTTTTAAAAATTATTTAACAAAATGATATTAATTTAATTTATTCCATAAATAGCAATTTTTTTTTTACAATCTTAGCATACTCTAAAGATTATTATTTTGAAACTTTTCGACTAAAATCTGTCATGATGTGATTTGTTCTATTTATTTTCAGCAACGAGAAATCCACGTTACCTTTTGGTTAGATTGTAAAAAAGAATTATTGCTAGCAATTAAAAAAACAAGCAGTGCCGGTAACATCTCAAAATATCTAATTCCTGAAAAAAATGAGAAGATTGAATACATTACTTTTCTATAAACCTCACTATTTGGGAAATGATCAATACACGAGTTTGACACATACAAAAGAGAAATGTAGTTCACAAGACATCCCTCTTTACAATTTCTCTATAAAAAGACCGAGAGGAAATAGGAGAGGACAAACATATAAAACTGAGAGGTATTTAAAAAAGAACAATTATTTTTATTCTAGAATTCTAAAGAGGTTGGAATATAAGAGGCAATCCTTGTGTGGGCCTAAGAGAAAGCATGATAGAAGGGCAGTGTCTATAGTTAGGTGAAATGGAAAAGGAGAAGTTTGTCAAGATTAAAGACAAGACAACTTTGAACTCCATCATTGTCAAATTCCTACCAATGCACATCCTTCCTCCAAAACCAAAAGGCAAATATCCCATTTTGTGTTTACATCCGCCATGTATCATGTCATCCTTAAACCTTTCTGGTTTGAACTCATTCACGTCTTCGCCCCAAAGTTGTTTGTCGTGATGCATGGACACCAAATCAATCCACATGTTTGTTCCTTTGGGGATGACTACGTTGTCTACTTTAATGTCTTCTCTAGTTTGCCTTTGTACATTTGGTGCCGGTGAGTATAGTCTTAGTACTTCATTCATCACCCATCCCATCTGCATAATATAATTCACGCATTCAAAATTTTTAGTAGCAATTCAAATCATATATAAGCATTAGAAAAAATGAATATCCTGAACTATATTCTCTTTCCCTTTTTTTGTTTTGGTTAGAACGGTGAAGATAAGACAATAAGATGGAGACGAGTAGGCTTGACTATGGACAGAGGCGTACCTAGAGCATTGAATCCAGGTTCTCGGGAACCCAATAATTTTTGCATAAATTTTGTATTTATATTAAAAAATTCACTAAATATTTATAAATATCTAACTGTGAACTAAATTTTTATTGCATATTAATTTGAAATTACGGTAAAAACTCATAAGATTTAAATCCGGAATGCACGGTTGTGCCGTGGCCAATGTTGGTACATGTGCTACATGTGGTCTCTTATTTTCTTCCTGATGGTCAAAGTCAGCTATTTGGCTGCAGGGCGTTAACATGTGTAAAGTTTATAGTAGAATTTTTGACGTGGCATCATGTAATATATCTAGACTTAAAAGTTTGCTTTTCTTCTTTTCTTTTCTTTATCTTTTCGTTGTATCAAGAGAACGTTAAACATGTAGACAAATAATAATCAGTTATAGCGACGGTTCACGAGACTAACAAAAACTAGAGAATAACTAATTAGCTTANGCCTGTGTCTCACCCATTCATCTCCTTCCACCATAACCAACCCTTTACCAAACATGGCCTTTCTGTCCCTCTTAAACACTGTTGGCTTCCCCCAACTTTTGCCCATTACTCCCGCAGACATCTTCTTTATGAATTCAGGGTCTGCTATGTAAACAAATGGTTCTGTTCCCAGCCAGTATATAAATACTTTTCCTGCATATATATATATATATAAAGAATGCTTCAATGAACAAGAAAATAGTACTATATACCTATTGTACGTAGTCTTAAGTGAATATCAATAAGCTGCTGAATATACCATGTAATTTCTGCCACTTAGCGAAGTATGGAAATGCCAATGAATGGATATCATGGCTAATTTTTAAGGCAGAAAGAGAAGGTGACGAAGTAGCAGAAGAAGCTGTGTTCATCAGCTCCTTCTTCATTTCGTTAATATTTCCAAGAGGGAAACTTGGTGCTGGTCCCTCAAATCCATTTTCCTTAAGCTTCTGATATTTCAGTTTGGGCAGCACCAACCAAGAATATAATACTTTACATAATACAAAGAAAATAAGAATGACAACCATGCCTAGCAGGATAGCAACTTGAGAAAACTGTTTAAACTCCATTCACTCGATCGATCACTTTCTCTCTGTATATAGAATGAAGGAGATTTGTTCAAGTATATATATATGGTGGGTTATAGTTTCTAAAATAATGAAAAGTACAGCGATTGTGTTGATGGGCTAATTAAGGAGAGAAAGGATGGGTATTTATAGAAGGAGAAGTTTGTAGTCAAAGGTTGACAATTGACTATGAGACAATTTAACCGGCCTAGACTACACGGAGTGGTGAGTATTTCTTTTAATAAAATGGTAGTTTTTGATATTACTTTATTATTTTATTGCATGTTTGTGTTCCATGTTACTCTTTGATAATTCCTTCTCCTCTTGATTTTTCAAACTTGGAATTAAATTGGTCGTCAAATTTTAATTTGCGGCTCAAAGCCGAATACACATTTTTTATTGATAACGCCGGCCTAGTCTATTCAGATCCCACGCGGCATACTTTAGAGTATGTTTGGATTAGATGATTATAAATAGCTCATAAACTTAAGTGCTGAAAAATATTTTTTAAGTGTTGAAATTGATTTTTAAAATAAATATTTACATGTTTGGATAGACGTGCTGAAACCGATAATAAGCAGTTGATATGTTTGGTAGAAAAGTGTTGATGAGTTGTTCTTTTGTTAAAAAAACTAAAATACCCTTAAAGTTTTTACAAAACATTATGAAATAAAAAGTTTCTTTGTAGAGTAAATGATAAAAAACGAATATGGAATGAAGAGAAAATTAAAAAAATTATTTTGGGAAAAATATTTTGTAAATTAAAAAATATTATTAAGGATAAACTAGTAAAAGTCTTGGTCAAACTAAAAATATTTATAAGCTGAAAAATCATAAGTTGGGGAAGACCAACTTACTTATGGTTGATTTTAACTTATAAGCACTTGGCTTATAAGCACTTTGGATATTTACCAAACAAGTAGAACAGCCAAAACGTGCTTATAAACCAGTTTGACCAGCTTATAAGTTTAACCAAACACCCTCTTATTTTGAAAGTTGGTACTCGATAAATCGATATATATTACCCACACCATACCAGATATTTTAATAAATGTAAGACATGTTTTCTACTTGTTATGGTTAATGAATATGTCGTCTCATTTTAATTTTTTCACTTGATTTTTCTTTTTGTGTGGATGATTAGCTTTGTTATAATCCATAATAAGTAAAAACAATCTTATTTTACGCTGCAAATTAAATTGGGTTCTTCGTCGGTAAAAACTAACCCGCATCGAGTGTTCACACCAAGCCAATAAAAAAATGACACTTGTTATTTAATCTAACTACAATTATTAGTGCTTAATCATAGTTAACTTTTATTTTTTTTTTGTACATAATCTTAAATAATAAATTAATATACATAGTAATCTAGTCAGCTATTCCGCTACGCTCCTAATGTTAAGTAAATCTGAAAAAAAATATATTACCGTGAGAGAGCAAATATGAAATCTGAAACCGTGAGGCACAATTTTCCTTCTTTCTTAGTTCCATCCTGACCTAACAGTGTAAAATGGTATTTTATGTATAATACTGATTAGTCAATATTGGCAAGATTGTTTTCAAAGATGAAAAATTTTCAAGTTATGGTTTTTACAGTTTTTTGTTTATTCGTATAATATGTATGGAAGAAGAAGACAAGATTCTTCCTAAATATTTGACAAACAAATAAGATTAAAACATAGAAAAAGTTAGGGAGGACTATGAATTTCTACACAATTATCACTAAACATAAGTTTCAAGTCACAAGATGAAGCAAGAATGCAGAGGATGATTGCGAGGAAATAAAAGAAAGAGGATGACGGTTACCCTAAGAGTTTATAACATTAGTTATTATGATTCTACTCGCTTTTTTTAATTTCTTGATTATTCAAAATAAAAATCCTAAAAGAACTTAGTTTATCTCGTGTGGATAATTTAATTAGATTTGGTGCATGCGGGTAAGTTTTTACCGTTCTTCGTCCCAGTGAATGGGATCTTTTTCCGAACCCCAAATTAAAGAATATGGAGCTGGATAAGTAAATTCACTATTTTAATGCATTGTATACTTTTTCATGGGTAAAAAAGGAACGTGTTATATCTGTAATAATCAAAGGCCATGCTTAGCCTTTTTTAAATTCTCGCAATAATTTTCTCATCACTTTTTGTTGTTAACTTTAATTATGCATGTCAAATTATCCGTCACATTCAAAATGTGAAGAGGATGTGCTTCTTTATTAAGTCGAATTTCATAGTAAATAATTTGTGACTATTAATACATGTAATATGCCAATATTTTGTAGTTTTGTCCGCCAATTAAGGTGAAATATTGGTGTTTACCATTAAAACGAATAATTATTAAATTTATACGCGATTTTAAGGATATGTGGATTGATTCAGCACAAGTAATCAATAATGTTAGATAAACGAATCAAAGATAAAACAAATAACCAAACCAGTTGAGACGTCATCCGAGCTCGGATTTAAGCTTAACAGTAGTTTTGCCCTCGACTGTACCCTCGATTCGAAGCCAAATGTATATGGAGAACTATGATTAAAATGAGAACCTTTCAATAGCTAAAAAAATAGAGAAATAAATTTTATATTCCCTTGATATGCGTGTTACAATGTATTTATTGAATAAAAACTTTCCCTTTATACAGTAGATTTTTTTTACCCCTAATACAATTCTGAAAAAGGTAAAACTCCTCCTTGTACATCAATCACTAATACGCTACCGACATCGGGCGAGATCTGCGCCGTGATATCCAGTTAGGTGCGGATATCACGACCCTCTGTTAGTCATGTACAACCATTTGTAGTGATTTCCGAGGACTTGGAGCTCGTTCCGGGTTCGGGGGGTGTTGTCTTGTCGGGCACGGTGGCGAGCACCCTATCCCAGCCTCGATTAAAAGAGTTCTCAGACTCGATCTCTATCTCATGCATTCATACTTCTTACATCGTTTGACTCACCGAGAGCTCGGGGTGTGTGCTGACCCTGAATTCACCTGTATACAGATAGTCCCCTCGTTTCTTAGAGAGTAGGTTCGCCGAAACAATGGGAAACGATAGATGAACCCCAGTTTCTTCCTTCGTACGTTATAACCGAGACAACGAATAAGCCGAAACGTCCCATCAATCGTGTCGTTCTGACTTCGGACACGTGTCAATCACTGACTGGTTGCCTCTGAAAGTGAAACGTCGCGTATTGATTACATTTTCTCCTATAAAAGATTCGACCTTTTGTACTTTTTCCACCTAGCTTTTATCTTCGAATTCTCTAGCGGCTATCAACTCTTTCAAATCTTCATCTCTTTACTTTTGGTCTTCAAATCTTTATAATTGTTCTTAACTTTCTACTCAGATCTCCATCCTACCTTCAAACCTTCATACTTTTTCCTTCAAACCTTCATACCTTTCTTTCAAACCTTCATATTTTCCAGATCACGATGGCTAGGACTTCCAAGTTAGTTCCTCAGCAGGCTGCCTCTTCATCTTCCCAACCGGCCGCAGGTACCGAGGCGGCCGTTCCCGAGGTGGTTTCTCTCGAGGCAGCTGCTCCGCATGTAGTTTCTCCCGAAGTGACTACTACCGAAGCGGCCCCAGAGCCCCACATGAAAAGCTTTATTCCCGAGGTTTGTTCAATCACAGATGACTTCAAATTGGAGAAGGCCTCATCCAAATAAGATCGGGGTGAAGGAGCATGGGAATACATATGCTCCATTACTGAAGATATCCTTCCCATAGTCCGAGAGGACTACAAATGGGAAGATAAAGATGTGATTGTCCCCAGGCCCAAGGATAACATTACTACCCAAGTGGAGGGGTATTCAAGTGTTTACACTTACCCCTTAATGCTGGGACCAGTAGACCCGGTAATCCTGGATTTTTATAAGAGGTACGAGGTGTGCTATAGGCAAACCCACCCATCCCTTTAGAGGATCGTGATTCACCTCCGTCATTTCGTGAACAACACCGAGTCTCTTCGATTTACCCTCAACTATCTCCTTCGTCTATACAGTCCCCAAACTTTTCGAGAAGGACTAATCAAGCTTGCCCGCCGAGCCAGAAAGGCTCCTTGTTTTACTATCGAAAAAGATCGAGACCGAGGTTGGCATGTGCATTTTGTTCAGGTAAAAATTGAAGACCTGATTCCTCTTGAGTTCCTTCCATTTTCCGAGAAATGGAATGCATCTCATAAGTGTAGCCTTTCCTTAAGTGTCAATTTTCCTTTAACTCATTTCTCATCATCAGTGTATGTGGTCGTACAGCTGTTGCCCAGGTTCCCAATGTGGTCCCCTGGCACAAGGAGTGGATCGAAGGCATCTGTAAGCAGATTTTATACTTCGAGTGCGCGTGGCACAAACTTTCAAAGGGTATATGGGAGGCCCATTCTCATGGTAAGGCTTTCCCCTGAATATTTATTCTCAAACTCACATGACGCAGACCTTTTCTATTTCCTTTGTAGGTTTTCCTAAGACCACCGAACTTAGGCTGCTGGAAGGGGACAAGGATGCGTCCTTATCCATTGATCCCTCCATTACGGGACAGCCCAAGGCTACCGCTGGGGAGGATAAGAAAAGGAAAAGAAAGTCCTCGGGCTCCCCGGGTCCCGAGGTGAAGCCAAAAAAGAGGACGACTTCCCTGGATTGTAAGCCCCGGGTGCCAGACTCTGGCTCACTTCGCCGGCTTAAGGATGAGTCTGAAGATGATGACATCTTTGTCGCTCACGGACCGACCCTTGCTGGGGAGCAGGCAGCAACCGAGGAAAAGAACCATGAGGCAGATCTCCTTCCGACTCGAGAGGACGAGATGGAGATAGGGGTTGAGACCACCCGAGAAGTCGCTTCCGTTTCGAAAGAGGCAACCAGTGTGATAGACTTCATCGACACGCCCTCCTACACTGAGTCTATGCTTGAAGAGGCCCAAACAGGAAAGGAAATGTCGAGTGAAGGAGTTCACGGCATAGACACCCTTCTCCACTCCTTATTCGATGGTGTTGACATTTCCACTTTGGAAGACTTTTTCGGGCTGGGCGACTTAGAGATCCCGAAGAAGGATGCACCTTCGAGGGTTGGCGGGCCGGGTTCTAGCCCAAAACTTATGAAACAGTTTTT